AAAGAGAAATCTACATTTCAGAGTTTCCATGGATTAGTACGAGATAGTGCAGAAGTTGATTTCGCAATTTTTGAGCATGCTCAAAAAAATCTAAAATCGTCACAGCGGAAGCCAAAACAGTCGTAGACATGGGTTATGACCTTTTACTTTTAGCTAAATATTCGAGCCGACCGATAACAGGTCGATTTTCGTGAAAAAGCAGAGCATTCTCTTAAAAAGTCATAACTTTTCAACGTTTGCTCGGCAAAATTCTGCCTGGCTAAAATTGCGAGATTATGTAACATATGTTCATGTTCGTTTAGGTGATTTTTGTAGCGTTTTTGGATTTTTGGTGAGGTTTTTTAGAATTACCAAAATTTGAGTGATCTTCTTTTTGCATTGTCTGCGACTTGTGCTTAGTAAAATGCATTCAAGCCATAATTAGAACTACGTGATCTCTTCATTCTAAAAAAATATCACAGGCAAATCTAGGCAGACAGCAGAAAATGGCGATTAGAATATAGTAGAAACAAACTTTTGCACCCACCTAATAAATTGCAAGCTTTCATACTTATCGCTGTGTTTGGCAGACTGCGCATTTAGAGCTACTAATTAGATGTGCTTTTTCAAAAAAGCAAATCTGGAACAATCTGGAACTTCGAGATTAAATCTGGAAGAGAGTTGGGTGTGCGCACAACAGAAAACCACTCCCTCTTTCAAGTCTGTCCCTTTGTAGCATAACCCTTTTATAACTAATAGCTCTTCTTCACTTGAACTGAACAACCTTGAAAGTCTATTTTATATAGACTTCAATTTGACATACATAAAGGAGGGACAAAGGGCTATCCACTGGCATAATTTCTACTCGTATGGGTGTGAGTACAAAACGTGGCAATTCTTACTGTGAATTTAGAAATTTGCGTGTTCTTCTTTCTCACCTTCATAAAATTCTTACAGATTCGAGATTATACGTGTAGATGAGACGGTGTTAGACGACGCAAGTCCAAGCTTTGATAACGCAAATCAGAAGCCGAAAATAAATCGGAATATCTTTTGAGATACAGAAATTAGATTTTTCGTGTGGGACCTGTAACGAAAAGTTGGCTTCCACATAAATAGAAAATTAGAGAAATATCTCGAGCAAAAAATGGATCTTTTTCCTTCAACTGTAACAATGCATCTTACAAGGAAACGATACTCGGTGTCCGTGGCCTTTTGAGATGAGCTGTATACCATTACATTCGTCTTGAAACGCTGATTCCGAATCTGTCTTCCGTTTCTGATAATCGCTTCAAAGAGGTTATGATGGATCGTGCGGAGTTTGGCTGCCTAGTGAGATATGATCGGAGCACCAACGATGAGGGTGCGCTGTGGTGTAGTGGCTAGTGGATAGCTTTATGAGTTTGATGCACGTGCAGGTTCGAATCCCTTAGCTTTTTTCAGTTATGCATTGCCTCAGTTAACTTCCTCGCATCCTCGAGCTAACTGAACGCGCCTACTCTTCAAAAAATGATGAAATTTGAGAAAAATAATTACTATTTGCGCTAAAATGTATCCAACGATCATAATTCGAGTAAGTTTTCTCAAACAAGCTTAACTAAGGCAATGCAAAAGTAAGGACACAAAAGGATTTGAACCTACACCCGCATCAACTTATGAGGCTATCGCACTAATTACTAGACCAAAACGTGGCGGCGATAGAGGCCGTTTAGATAGCCATATTTTTCTTGGGCGGCCAAACTTGTCGAAATTGCTTCATAATTTCTTAGAAACGATTAGCAGAAATGGAAGTTAAATTCGGAATCAGCGTTTAAAGACGAGTGTAATGGTACACATCTCGTCTCAAAACGCCACGGACATTAAGTATCGTTCCCTTGTTAGTAATCACTTTGAAGGTATTTTGTGAACATTCCATAATGCTTGCCCAATGTGAAACGTGGAGACTCTATAGTCAACAACAAGATGAAAACATTGTACCAGATGCGAAAAGATACGATATATATTCATAGGTTGTTTCCCGGTTCGAAACTTCTTCGTAATGCTCATAAGAATACTTCAGTTATTTTTCAGCAGTTTTCAGAAAACTAGTTCTGTGAAATTTCATAGACGCAGTAAGTAAGGTTCGGTTTATACTCTTAGCTGCAAAATTCCTTTGCTACAAAGGGATCTTGTCGTGATTTCCAGCATTCAAAGATCGCTTGTACCTTTCGGCAAGGTTTATTACCCTCATTATTTGTTCGGCGCCAGAAAACGAGGTGTATGAATGTGTGCCCAGTGAATTATAGTGTTGACTTTGAGGGCGAAAGCGAGTGTTACTGCAACCCTCATGGAGCCATATTTCCTCGACAATTCCCCTCGGACGCGACAGTGACTCGTTGAAAGGCCATTAGATCTGCGTCACTCTTTATTAGAGCTACGTCAACTGACTGCTCCTATTCATGCACTAGTTTTCATCCAATATGGGTGCCCGTCTTTTTTTTGCTCTTTATGGCTTCAGTCGCAATACTCGTATACTTCTTATGCAAATACACTAACTAGAAATGACGTTTCAAGGAAAATTCTGCTCAAGAAGCTGCTATTGTTTTCAAAATCTTTTTCTGAAGATACCGGCATTGTGTTAAACACCCATCAAGCTGAGCATGATCTTAATTAGAGATAGATTTTGAAACTGCTTGAAATTGATATCCCGTGCAACATCTACGACACTGGAACTATATGCAGATATAGAAGTAAAATCAACGCTTATTCTTACAAGATTTCAGACGGATGTTTATATGTCAGGTTACGCGAACTGTACGCCTGATCTTCAACAAAGCAACAGCTAGATTGTTAAGAAACCCTGACCAGTTTCACTGATCTACTCTTGTATCTGCATCTGTCTTTGATCATATCATTAGGATAGTTGCGATGTAGCTTTTCTCTGAAAATTAGGGCCAATAAAAATTCAACAACTTCAGCTTTTGATTGTGAGATTGGTTAGCAAAATTAGATTTGACAAATTAGCTATGCATTTGCATCTCCTCAATGAATATGTACTAATAATAATAATAATAATAACAATAATATAATATCGAGTTTCTTGTTAGCTTGCCACATTGGGACTAAAACCTGATTCTAATATCTCAGCCCCAATTTTGTTATTAACTTGAAAGTAAACGATTTGTTTGTTTTTGTTTTTCCTGTAAAAGTAAGCAGTTTCTTCACATCCTTCGAACCTCAAGCCTCAAATTAGCTTTGAAGCCGAACTATGTCGAGGACTTGCATCATTTGAGTATTTAGTCGGAAACAATTTTTGTGTGACACATGTAATCCTGAACTCTTCTCCTGTCACCAATGTCTTAGGTTGTCTCAAACTTCAAATGTGCTTGAATCTCTGAATCTGCGCCAGATATGACAGAGCTTGCGTTTTGTAAAATAGAACTTGTCAGTGAGCTTTTCAATCTATCATTCTTGGTTGATAGGTGATTCATAACTTCGCTCGAAATAAGCGTGAGCATGTCTTGAAAGGAGGTTCTAAACAGTAGAAGCTATGTATATCTATTTCTATTTCGTAGGATTTATTAGGAGAGAAATTTTTTGGTTTTGAAAGGAACAGCTGTATGGAACGCGTAAGGATAAAGATAGAACTATTACATGGAATCTAAAGATAATGTTATTCTTCTCCTCATTTTTGGATTGAGCAAGCTTTCGATTTCCGAATTTTCTAATAAAAACTGACAGGGTGCATAATATTGATTTGGCGGATAGTATTTGTTACACTTTCATTTTTATTTCTCAAAAATAAAATTTTTCAAAATTCTTATGTTCAAGGAGTGTTGACGGGGTGCAAAGACTTACCCACCAGTACTGTCAGATCCCTGTATGCAGATCCATGCGCAAAACACCCAATGTATGGGTAGAATTACGTTTCATGGACATTATCAAGGGGCTGGCATTTCTTCCAGTTGGTCAAGGATAGACCGGGCGATGTGGTAATCGGGCAGGGGCACGTGAGTTAATGGTGCGCCATGTCAGCGCACATTCGCTTTTAAGATGAAGAGCAATTTTAAAAATTTATGAAAATCACTTCCAACTTCTCCGTATCAACTCCTACACATGTACTCGAAAAGAAAAATTTACAATGAATTTTTAGTTTATTTTTAAATTTACTTTTTCTCCTCTATTTTGCCATGCTTGCGGCACCAAAGCGCTGCCATAAAAGAGACAATGTGAAAACATGCTCGAAAAATTATAGAAGAGAAAAAACACTATTAGACATAGGGAAAACAACTGAAGAAAAAATGACAATCTTGAGTGCGCTTACAATGTTGTCGTAAATTTGCCGGCCACTTGTGCATTTGCGACACAATCATACTGTTGTGTACGGCCTGCTGTGTCCTACATATAAAGCAAAATCGAAAAATTTAGTAAGCTTCTGGATTTCAGAGATTTGGAGGGAAAGTGCAACAATAATTACCCGCCAACCTAATATTTTGGGACTTTTGAGTTTCTTGATACATAAACAATGCAGAAAAGCTTGCTGACATAACTCATTCGCTGGATACTCAGATCATAAATTGCTTTTTTTCGAATGTAAAACTCTTTCCAGTTTGAGCAGTCAATTGTAAAATAAACCTCATGCGCCTGCGAATGCATTCTATAAATCAAAGTATGAAGCTCCGGAATCGTTGAGACTGAGCGTATCCTACGTGACACAAAAAAAATCTCACAATATTTGCTACGGTTGATCGCACTGTAGTCTGGAAAATGCTGAGGTCGCATTTTACGATCCAACACCGATCGCCACTTAACGATGTCTCTCCATCGTCGATTTTCAACAATTGCTGGTGTCCTGTTGTTGAGCTAGTTCTTTCTAGTGTGCTTCAAACTTTGTAAGTCCTGATTTTTATGGCGAAATGTAAAAATTTCTCTCTTGCTCTACAGCTCTCGTCTTCGTGTCCACCAATGCAATGATGCGCTATTAATCATCTATAAGCTGTTTTGTATCGAAATTGCGTTGCAATTTTTCATTGTTTAGACATCCTTTAGACATCCTGGATGAAACCAGAAACGCTATGCTGAGTAAATAAAACAAATGCATTGGCTCGACAAAAAGGCGGGCCTCTATTTCCCTTCATCACGTCATTTCCGCATGCCTTTTATATCTTATCAATATTTTGCTTCATTTGCACTGGATAATCAATACTTTGATATAGAATGGTTTCTTGCGCCATAATATATAGCTACCACTCACTCTGTTTGTTTGCTTCTAATAGCTTCTACTCTTCGCGTCGCATTCAGTTTAGTAAGTTTTAATAAAGTTGAACATAAACTAAGTTTTTGGAAAAAAAGGCTTTGGCTTCGTTCGAAAGCAAAAGAATCGAAAGAAAATATCTCCATCTAGTCTACTAAATGCCTCATACTTAGTAAAGTGGAAACTTTGATTTTGTTATCGTAACGTAAGTTTTGTAACGCTGATTAAATTGATCGTAATTAAGTGAAAATAATATTTGCAGGACTGTAGCTTGGCGATATATACATGCCACATATGGGATATTCAATTTTTGATTTCTTGTAACAATTTCAAATTATTCATTTCTGGCAGTTTTCCGACTTGCGTTATTGGAGTGCTTGTAGGTATCCCAAAAAAAGGCACCTTTTTTAACACATTGATGACTGCTTGACACACATGGTGTGTCAAGCAATGACTACCGCGTGGGACCGCTTGACACACCATGTGTGTCAAAGCTTGAATTTTGTAAAAATGATTTAGTCTGGGATAGACTCACTCCATGAGCTTTATTTTGCACAGAATCTAGGGATGACTTCTACCTTTCTTGTCAGTAGATGTACTGTAGAGGCAGTATGCATAATTGTAGTTGAAAAAGTGGGCTGGTCCGTAAAAAGGCCTTGTTCCCAAAAGGCAGACAACTAAAAATCTGCATGGTCGTCAGTGTGTTAATAAATCAGAATGTTTTTGTTTTCCTAGCAGCTTGAAGTACCATTTTACAGAATAAAGCAAGCTCCACATATTGGCCTCCAAGTATCAACCCAAATCATAATCCAAGTGGAGCTTGGAGCCAAAATCCAAAAGGTTTTTATTGCCTGATGTGGATTTTTGTGAAAAAATCCTTTAAGACTCCGAATTGATTTTCATGCAGAAGATACATGAGTAAATAATTCTTAAATGCATTTGCTAGATTTTTCTTTCATGTATAGTAATCGCGAAAAAATGATAGTTCAATGCCGCCCCCCCCCACTTATGAGATTGACTATAAGCCTTTGTAAGTATGATTCTGATATCGTATCTCCGTTTTTGCTCTTGTACTCGAAATACCAATTCTAATCGATCCGAAGAATATGGCATTTTTGAGGGGTTATGGGACATTTACGGCGTACTTCGGACTATTTTTGTTTCTCAGATTTGAGCAGCGGAAGATATCCAGCAGATGTATCCAAAAATGCTGCTAGTATCTACTGTATGATGACTAAGTTGGAGATCCATAAGAAACTCCCTGGAAGGGATTTCAAACTTAATCATAATATTTAGTCTTTAGCTCCAAACGTTACCTGGACTTTTATGGATTTTTGGTGGATATTATGTAAAGATTGCTTACTCCATCGAATAGTTCCCCAAGTCTGCTAAGGAAACAAAAATAGTTTAATCAATTTAGAAAAACGGTTTATTTTTGGCAAAAAAAACCAATTTTTCCAAATTGCTTTGTGCTAGCACTGATGCTCCCGGAGATTCATAGAAAAGATAAGTGCAGGAATTTGAGAATTGTGAAAAATAAGAAAGAAAGCGGAGGTGAAAGAGCTCTTGAGAATTGCCTTTTGTTTACTGTAAAGCACGTGACGGTGAAGTTGAAACATTGCCGATGGATAGCCCTCTGTTCTTCCCTCCATGTGCCAAATCTAAACTCTTTCGAAGTCGTTAGAGTTTTCGGAGAAAGACTATTAACGTGTAATAAGACTAAACGTATATGTTTTTGCTTGCAGTTCAAAAAATACTCTTGTAGTGTCTGCATGGATTTGCTTAATACCGTAACTCTGATGTCAGTATGGTCAATCTCAGAAGCATTATTTGACTAAAGTTTCTGTATCGCCGTCCTTAAATGAACTATCCTATCAAAAACCACCTTGAGACACATGAAAACGCCCAGTGCTTTAGTTATTCAAGAACTCAAGAGTATAGCCAAATCAAACTAATGTTCCCTATCTAAGTTGATGCTGAAAAAATATTGGAGATCACTGTACCAGTCGCTAATTTCTAACTTGCTTTTACATTCAATGGCGTGGCGTTATAAGTGATGTCTTTGCACTCTTCCACTCAATTTAAAGTTATCTGAAAACTTTTTCTTGGAAGGGTAGATATAGTGCTACGTTTGCCCTGTATAGGAATACTCATTCAGAGAACCCCATACCACAGAATCAACCCATTTTGAACTTTTTACTATATTGTAGATGAGATGTGACCTTTACGCAGTCACATTGTCGATTATAGCCGGAGTGACGGCATCGCCGATCTCCGACTTAATCGAGCGTACGATAGTCGACGAGAATTCCATACTATCCATACCGTCACCTGCAAGCGCTCATGGTGAGTCACTGTGCAACAAAACTCTGTAACTCTGTAAATTCTGCCTCGACAGAATTTTGTTTCCAGTTTTCACCTTTTCGAAGCCTTCTCGCCCAGAGGAATCCATACCTAGGTTTTTCAACATGTCAGAAAATGTCAAAAACGAGCTTTTTTCGAAGGCTGCAGGTCAGCATACGGTGAAGATACATCCGAAGCCTTTCGCGCCCGATTCCCTCGTGCCGGGGCTCGCTCACTTATACTATTCTCTACTGATTGCGGCCTTAGGAAGCTTCGGAAGAAGCTTATTTTCGCCATTTTCATGCTTTGAAAAGCCCAGATATGGATTCCTCTTGGCGAAAAGCCTCCGAAAAGATAGAAATTTGAAAGGCGAAATTCTGCCGAGACACTGCCTTCAAGCACTAAATTACAGAGATGCTGGACATCGTTGAAAGAAGGGCGCCATTTCCAAATGAAGGAAACGACAAAGGTGAAAACCAAAAATTTGAATTCAAGAAATGCTGCCTAGCACCATATAGAAATGATAGCTAAAGGAACTTTTAGTCAGGCTTGACTGCAATGTACAAAGAAACAAGAGTCTGCTAAAGAAAGCACATGGAGACATTGCGATCTACGTTCCTACATGCTCGCCAACAGATTCTGTGTGGGTATTTGTTCAGCAGGCGTTTTAGTGGTGCAGACCATTATTGCAGGTTTTATCTTCCAGTGCAATGTTTAGAAGTGCAGAAGTACTGCTGGTGTGTACACACGGCTACGGGAGAACCTATTCCAGGTTGGCAAAGTATCGATTCGCATTTTATTATACAGCTGGCCTATACTAGGTCGTTCCAAAAGTTCTGTCCGAAATTTACTTCTTGTTTTAACGCAGCTATTTTCTTTGATTTTTGCACTTATTGCAGTATTATTTACACCATCTGGACTTCACTAAATCTTAATGAAGAAACTCAGTGATGAAATTTCAACCCTCATTTCAAGTTGTCAAAATGCAACCATGCTTAGATCCGCAATGTCCGCAGATTTAGGTATGTAATATTTCATAATGAGTAGCGGTGAAATGGGCTAACATACGCAGGCTTTCACTCAAACATAGAAAATGTTCTCTTCAGATTTTTCTTCACATTTGAGAATCCCTCAGCTAATCTATAGCGACGGCAAACTGCACATAGTGACGAGTGATGTATTCAATAGTGCGTATGCTATTGCAAAGCTATCGCAAGCAGGAACCATCAGCAAATTAGTTTTTCTTTCGCAACAAAAAGAAAAAAATCAAATATAGGAAATCCTGCAAATTTGCGCCCGCGGAGGAGGGCTCAAGTAGTGGGGTTTTTTGCTTGCTCATGTAAATTTCTATGCAGCAAAGACATTTTGAATTTATTCAGTCATAGAATGTTTTCTGAAATTAGGCTATTTATAAGCAGTGGCTCAGGAAATCCTTGACCTGTAATTTTTTCGTTTACATGGGTTGAATTCGACGCGCGCCCCCCTCCGCCTCCGACAATGTGAGAATATTTCGAGTTTTTCCGAGCGCGTATAGGAATAGCTTGCGCGCACAGGTTTAGGGGCAATTTTTTAGGTGGGGGCAGCATGCTGTGCGTTCGGACCTGCTCTGTTCTGATGTTTGGGGTACAAGCAACCTTCCATATAAAAGTTTTACGATCGTTTTGCCGAACCTGTCTTTGATAGTGGCAGCCAAATATGTCTGCCTATTTTTATATGGTAGCATTAGTATTTCAAAGTAGAAGGTTTCAAAGGAAGTCTTGCAGAATTCCTCAAATTTTCTCTTTACTCTCACTAACTTCTTCAGTTGACATACTGTGCTTCAGCCATAACTCGATTAAACAGCAAATTTCAGTTTGCCTAAACTGATTTTGAAAAGAGTTGTGACATTTCATAACAAGAGCGTATGAATACATACGTGCTGGTCCCAGAGCCCCGGTCAAAAAGAATCGTGGTCAATTTTTCCTTGTGACTCAACCATTGGTGAGCATTACCTACAAAAAGATTGGGCCGCTTTGAAAGACCGCTTTGAAAGTGGGATCGTGTGGCGATTTCTGCAATGTAAATAGGAAACGTTGTGAAGTTAAAATCTTGTAATCAGTAGATTACAAGAAAACAATTTTCAATCCGCTATCTGCTATCCGCGATTTATTGAAATGAATGTTCTTACAGGCACGTCAATACTAAATGCAAGGCCTCACTGCGAAGAAGAAAAACCAACGCCAAAGCCAAAAAGAATCAATCGTAAGTTTTGGAATTATACAGTGCAAAAACAACCACAAGTTCTTGATTTCCTCATTAACTAAGAGCCAAAAGGAGTTAGTGTTTAGTACAGCAGCATTTGATACAATGAGTAAGGAGTTGTGTCAAGGTAGTTGGCTCTACGCCCTGAGGCTAGCTGCTTATTTAAACTTTGGCATGATTTCGCTATGAATCTATTGCATATGTTGCAACTGCACTTTGAGAGTATTAGAGTTCCAGAAGAGAAAAAGTTTCGAACTTTTCTCTAGATAATTTCCACTTCGTTTCATCTATGCAATAATGTATCACAAATTTTGTTTTACAGGGTGTACAGGCAGGCGAAGGACTCGATTTGTACGTCGTCTGGTTGCTGCAATCAAGTCTGAAATGATCATCACAGGTAATTCGCCGGCCTTGTCGCTCTATAATTAGGGATTATCACAACAGCGATATGTAGGTACAAAACTCATGCTATTAATAGAGGGTTTACCATTCAAAGCAGGTGGTCACAGTGTCAGTGTTCATCTGGTACATGTGAGACCCGACTTTAGAAGCGGCCATGGGTACGGAAGCAAACTTGCGGGTACGGGAAAGGTCTTACATCTTTCTTGCTTGCTTCGAACTGCTCACAGTGGATAATGTAACACATACACCATTGATAGTTAGGGTAAAGGTCTTGCTCATGACCTTTGCAAGAAGCCGCACCGATTGAAATATTGTTTGAGATTATAACATCAAAAGTGATCAGCAACGTCGAATATATCAGTAGTTCCATGTGTGAGGTTGTGTAATGTGTACATGCCTCAATCTGCTCTATCGAATTTCTTATTTCAGTTTCTCAAATTGGTGGAGTTGGAAAAATTGAAGCTTTTACCAAATTTTCAAAAAGGGGTATTGCCTCTTTCCCTGTACCATATTTCATCCCAACTATCGTGGATCGCGACAGATGAGGATTACCGTAGAAAAACCAGTGCATATTCATGTAGAGCAGAAGTGTGTTTGTAATATTGTGTTGTTTGTTTATGAGACTCTGTGTATTCGCAATTCCCATTTTTGGGAAATGTTCTTCTTCTCGCCTCAACCATATAAAGCTGTACGACGTTCATGGGGAAGGCAGTCGACATACAAGAAGCTGAGCCGCTGAGCTGACTCAAAACTGTTTTCGAATCGGTCTCTATCGCGACTCCTCTTGCACTCAGCAGTATGTCGTCTGTCTCAACAAGGTGTGCCAGTGCTTCAGCTTCTCTGGGTGTGTGTTCTTTTGTTTTGCGCTCTAGCGATGGCTGTGGGTTAACGGTTGCTGTTTGTTTCCGATTATGGCCCGTAGTAAAGCTGCTTCATTCGACCTCAGCTTAGTTAGATTTCAGTTGAGGCTTCGACGAGTCAACTTGCCTTCAGTCGAGCCATTGATGATATTGCCAACCACCCACGATGATAAGATTATAAGCGATGATAAGATTAAGAGCGCCACGTCTATGCAAGTATACGAGTCAAGACGAGATTGCCAAACATTCACATCTACGTCATTGGCATTAGCGGAGGAGATGTGGCCGCACTTGTTAGATCTTGTTAAGTCTCGTCAGCATCACTGTGGCTCCTCACGACATGTTAAACTGACGTGTATCGTAAGTTACTCACGAGGGAACGATCCCAACTTAACCGGACAGACTTCACGCGATTTGATCGTCGCGACTCAATCGCCGACATTTCCATTCATTTTCATTTCACATTCAAAAATTTCGGGCTGGAAAAGTATCACAACCGCAACGCAAGTTGATCGGCATGGAATGATGTTGTAACAGTTGTCTCGTCGCGATGTAGTCGCGACGATCAAATCGCGTGAAGTCTGTCCGGGGCCTAAGGTGGCGAACTGGAATGAATCGACCATTAGAGCGTCTTGATGAGCTGATTCCAAATCTGCTTTTTATATCTGCGACACCGTTCATTGGAAAAAGTTATGAGTGATTGAATATGTGAAGACAATGGGGTTTCAATGCATAAAGTTTTGAAATCCAACTTGCGAGTGCATGACTAGCATGATATTGAGTGTACTAATTTCAAAGAGTGCTTACATTCATGGGAAACACTAAGAATTATTTTCTAACAACTAAAAAAACAAACTGAGCTGTTTGGTAGAAGCTATGAGCAATGAAAAGTTTAAATTTGGCGAATATACCGCGCCATACCTCAAGAATTAGTTGATCGAAAACACTTCTTTGTGTTTCCGTTAAATGTAAACATCCTCTGAAATCAGTACACTCAATATCATGCTAATCATGCACTTCCAAGTTGGATTTCAAAGCACTTTATGCATTAAAACCCCATCGTCTTCACATTTAACCACTCATAACTTTTTCCAGAGAACGGTGTTGCAGATAAAAGGCAGATTTGGAATCAGCTTATCAAGACGCATCTAATGGCTTGCGGTTCATACCAATTCGCCACCTTAAGTTGGGATCGTTCCCTTGTCAGAAGTAACTTACGAGAAGTTTCTCTGCGTATCATCATTGACACACTATTCAAATCAATTGATAGTCTAACTGAATGTGGACTGACTGAAGTAAGGTAGACTGCCTCGTCAGGTAGACGGACGGTCAGCTGAAATTTCATTCTGCATTCTTACAGCATGAGAAGGTGGTGATAGGCAGTTTACCTTACCGAATTTTGGATGAGGGCCTCAGTTCAGTTTACCTGAACTGAATTAGCTTCACTACGGGTCTGTGGAATGTGAGCCTTCCTGATTGTACCTTTTTGGGCAAAGAGTGTGGTAGTGTTTTTGTCCCGTACAACTTTTGACTCTGCACTCTTGCAATTCCGTACTAAATGATCAGGCTTTCCACAGTTCTAGCATCTCTCGGACTCATGGAAGAATCGATGATTATCTGAAATGGAGCTAATTTTGTGCACAAAGCTGTTCTGTGGTTTGTTTAGCCACAAAACATGTATCCTCATCCGGATATTTGGTGGGTGTTGCTCAGCATCAAATGCGATCATTTTATTGGTTCGTTCTTTCATTACAATGTACTCATCCGGAGCTGAAATGGTGTCTGTCATACTCCATTTTTTGCTCTTTATAGTGCGGTTCAGAACTATACGAACACCCCCCCCCCCATTTTGAGGGTTTCGAGACTTTCTGGAGAAAATTTCAAAAAATGTTAGTGCCACATGAAAGAGCGCAGCCGTCAACGGCATACGCAGCACAAAAATGATTTTCGGTGTCAATCGTAGAAATCATTTTGCGCCGAGTTTGAATTTTGGTGGTTCATAATTAAACGAACACTTGAAATGACGTCGTTTATTGACAGCAAATTACAACAAAATGTAAGTAAACACACAGAGGAAGGAGACCTAACAATCCATCAAACCACCAGAACGTTTTATAACTTGAAAGATTCTATTTGGCATGCTTTCCACCAAGTTGGATGTCATCAAGCGAAATTTGCCATCAGGCGTCCATAGCTGTTTTTAATTCATCTACGCTCCGAAGGCGCTTATTATGATAGATCCGTCAACCAATATACCCCACAAATTTTCCATGATATTTAAATCCGGTGAGCGTGCAGGCCAGCCAAGAAGACCGATAAAGAAAGCCATCTAAATTTTTTAAAAATTACCTAGAAGCTCCCTTGAGATGAAATTCCCAACCTCTTGGTCTCCGCACTAACGTGATTGATGCGTTTTTTTTAATCCATGCATCTTCCCGGTTACTCGGGGTCTGCCACTCTTGTAAGTCTCTTCCACAGTTCGCGGTCTAAGGCTTGCTCTTCTTCGATCTTTAGTTCTTTCAGATCCGCTTTGATCTTATCCGACCACCTCAACTTTGGCCTTCCTCTTGGCCTCTTTCCTGGTACTTCTTCTGCTGTGGCTGATCTGGAGATATGGCTTTCTTCCCTTCTTTGCACGTGACCGTACCACCGAAGTCTTCTCTCCTGCATCTTCTTAGCTATTGGGGCGACCTTCATCGTTGCGCGTATGGTATCGTTGGTAACGTGGTCGATCATGGTGACGCCTGCCGTCCATCGTAGCATGCGTGTTTCCATCACACTGACTTTACGTTCGTCGCTTCGCGTACACGGCCAACATTCGCTGCCATATAGAGCTGTCGGGCGGATCACACTACGGTACAACTGGGACTTCAGCTTGCGTGACATCCGCCTATCGCACATGACTCCTGTGAGGCTCTTCCACTTCGACCAAGCTGCGTTTATCCTGGCAGCTATCTCTTCTTGGATCGTACCATCTGCGCAGATGCGGCTTCCTAGGTACTTGAAGGTAGTAGTCTTCTTGATTGGAGCGTCTTCAATCTGTATGGTTCCTGGCGTTTGAGCTCCAAGCTCCATGTACTCGGTCTTCGCGACACTGATCTTCAGGCCGTGCAGCTCGAGTTCAGATTTCCACTTCTGCACATCCGCCTCCAATTCATTCCTGCTTCTCGCCATCAGAATCACGTCATCTGCGTACATCACGGCCCATGGAGGTTGATTGACGTATGAAGTTTCTGACTATCGTGTCCACAACTGTGATGAAGAGGAGAGGTGACAGCACGGATCCTTGATGAACGCCGGCTTTTATCTGGAAGTCTTCTGATTCTCCTGCTGCTGTTTGTACGTGGCTGGTCGCATCTCTGTAGATCATCTTTATCCACTGCACGTATTCTTCTGGAACCATGTGCTTCCGCAGCGCCCACCATATGATGTTATGCGGTACTTTATCGAACGCTTTCTCCAGGTCGAGGAATGCTGCATGTAACGCACACTGCTTTTCTCGGCTTCTTTCCATCATTATTCTGACGGTATGGATGGCGTCGGTTGTACTGCATCCCTTGACGAATCCGCACTGATTGGATGCCAGCTCCACAATTCTTCGAAGTCGTGTTTCTATTATTCTTTCGAAGATCTTTAGTGTGTGGCTCATGAGTCGGATGGGACGGTAAGTAGTGCAGTCAGCTATGTCTCCTCGATTCTTCCATATCGGTATTGTTGTACTTCTATACCAGTCGCGTGGCATCGTCTTCTGTTCTACTATCTGGTTTAGAAGTCGTGCTAGCCATGAGACTCCGGCCTGTCCACACTCCTTCCAGAACTCGTTGGAGACGTCATCTGGAGCCGTCGCCTTGCCGTTCTTGGTCTTCATTATGGCGATGCGGACTTTCTCTTCCGTGATTGCTGGTACCGGTCCATGTACAAGGTCGGCTGCAGTCGTCGTCGACGCGTATTCGTGGCTCGTGGATGCCATCTCTGCGAAGTGTGCTCCATCTCTCGTTTATCTCTTGTGGCGTTCTCAGCACTTTTCCCTGCTTGTCTTTGATGTTGTAGAAGTGCTCCATGTCTTTTGTAGCGTTTGTTCTTCTTCTTGCGATCCGATAGATCTCCCGCTCTCCTTCACGAATATGAAGTCTTC